GGGGGGCGGGGACGACGACAAGGACGACAGGGACTTCCTTTCCTATAGTGAAAAGTGTAAGAAAAATGGAGATGGAGACACTTAACTGATGGAGATGGAGACACTTAACTGATCAGGAGATGATTCACCACAAAATCTGGGTGTTACCCCAGAACCACTCAGCTTGTAAACTGTCTTTGTATAGTTTGCTTTTTTCCTGACTACTCTATATTGCATCTGGACACGCACAATAGCCTGAATCTAGATGTCTAGAGATCTTTCCAGACCAAGACAGACACAAAGAATCTAAGTGTCTTCGTGGTCTTGTAGCTATTGAAAGGGGGGAGGGGAGGGGGAGAGGGGGGCAAAGAAAAGATTGGGTTTAGTGTTTAAGATGCCTCAAAACTGCATTTTAGAATCTTACAGGCCTAGATCCTATTCTGCCCAAGTTCATAATAATACAGCTAAATTAGCTATGTATTAATTACTCCTACTTCATGTCAACAACCATCTCCCATAACAAAACAAAATAAATCTATCAAACGAGTCCCATAACTAAGTCTGACCTAATGAGTCAGAAATCTGAGTTTTATTCCCAACTCTGTCACTAACTTAGTCTCACTTAAGGACAATTAGTTTACCTTGGGCCTCACCCTGCCCTCTGCATTACCTTGCCTGTTCATACTGTAAACTCTGTGAAAAGGACATCTATACAACTGCTACTCTAACATGAAAATACAAATATTCATAAAAATACAGTTTAGTCCACCAGCTGTGTCAGTCATGTTGCAACCAAGGTCCCCATGACAGAAGTTCAAGTACAGTTAGGATGAAGATCAAGAATTCGCAGTATATTTAGCAATATCTTATTTCTAGACAGCGAAGTACCAGATCTGAAGGCAGAAATTACAGCATTTAAAGTATCAGGCTCTTTCCCACTAGATGGTTGAAAATTATACTTTAAAATAAGATACCTAGCCTATAAAAATAAGAAAAAACAGGTTACGCAGCTCAATCTTTTAAGTTTTATCTTCGTAAGTGTTTAGCTATTTGAAATCTTGACTTACATTAGTAATATAGGGTTCAATAGCTTGAGCCGTCCTCTTTAGTAAAGCCTTTGCCAAGTCATATGCTTGCTTGTTTAAATTCTGAAAAATACAAAAAGCAAACAATGATGCACATACTGATCTCACATGCACAATTTATAAATATTTAAGTTAATATGTACTAATAAATTAACTATAAGAATAGCCCCTCCCTGGATTCCTTCCTTAGATAAAAGATATTTTTTTATCAAACTTGTGAGACAATTAGTTTTTCTAAGCTAGATCTTAAAAACATCAGCCACCTAAATGACAGTGGTAGGCTGGAAGCTTCCCCGAGAAATTCAAACACTTTTAACTGTCACAAACCTGAAACTGGGAGCAGGGTGGGGGAAAAAGTATTTTTTGTTTGTTTGTTTGTTTGTTTTTTCAACTGATATCTTTTATGTTATGAAGGATCACATACAATTAGCACTACACCTGGCAGATTAACTGACACTGTGTTATCTTCCCAAATCTGGAGTTTAAGAGCTCAAGCAACTGGCATCTGCGGCTGCTCCTCATAGCTTTTCAAATGTTTTAGAGAAAGCTATATGGCAACAGCATATGTGGTCACTGCAATTAGCAACAGAGGCAAGTCCCAAAAATAGAAAATGGTGAGAGGTAGAATAAGAGAAGCTTCCCCTCCCTTATACCCTGGTAGCAAGCAACCAAACAGCTGTGGGAAGGGCAGAACAGCAAAGACACCAATCTTTTCCTCCCACAGATACAAATGTTAATGACTCTAGATCCACAATTCTCAACTGGGGTTGCACAAGATCCTTTAAAGGGGCATCAGGATGCTGCAGAATATTAGCACTACTAGATATGCAAACACCTACATATGATTTACAAGATAAACCCAGAGATTTCAAATAGAAATCCATAGTGTCAAAAACATTCTGACTTGCTTTAGTCTATTATTTTTCCATATTTAAATCCAATGGAAACTAAGGGTAGGCCTTTTTTCAGGGATGCCTTGAGTCTAATAAGGTTGAGAATCACTTCTCCAGATGGCGAAGAAAACTGCTTTTGCATTTCACAACCAGAAGAGGGTGGTGGATACAAGCTGACTTCAAGGAAGCACTTTAAGACTATCAATACAGATCCCTTTTCCATTGTTACCAAGTCAAAGTGTTTTTCTGACCTGAGTGAGTAGAAAAAAAAATTGACTTTTTCTGCTTTTCCCACCACTTACCTCTTGTACCTATCTATGGATAGTATGTGTCTGGTAACAACTAAACATTCCCAGCAGTACTGGTGACACTGTTACTGCAGAAAAACCTTGCAGTTGATGTAAAAAAGGCCAATAGACAAGTAGTGCTAAACTGAAAACTTTACTTGTAAAAAAAAATGAAATCTGAAAAAATAAATTCTCGGTTTTAATCATTTAAAGCAGGGCTGTCCAGCTGGCAGCCCGTGGGCAACTTGCATACACGTGGGCCACAAGGATACACCCAGGCCATATGCGTAAGCACACAAAGGGTTAACATGTGGCCACAGGCTGCTGCCCACTGGCAGGGTTGCTCCAGGGTCTCAGCCCTCACTCCCTCCTCCAGTTTCTGCTACCTGAACCCAGCCCCAAGGAGGGTGGCAGCGCAACATAGCCCACAATTGTGAGGGAATCTGTACCCAATGCGAGCCTCACCTCACCTTTGGCTGCGTGGCCATGGGCTCCTCCATCTGCCTGGTGCCACACAGGCCTAGTGGGTACAGATTCCCTGGCACTGTGGGCCATGTTGTGCTGCCCTGCTCCTTGGGGCTGGGTCAGGCAGCAGAAACTGAAGGAGAGTGGAAGGGCCTAAGACCCTGAAGCAACACTCCCAGTAGGTGGATGGGATGGAAATTTCCTCAGCTTAATTGTCTGCCCCATCTGCTTCTGAGAGTGCCAAGTTTGAGCCAATATACAGCTACCTTTTTCCCCTAGAGATACTGTGGTTTAGTGTGGATTGTCAGCCCTGGGGAATGGGTAAAAACATTGAATTTTATTTGCAATTTGGTGACCACTCACTCGATTTTGAGAGATTCTTCTGGAGGTTTTGGGGAGGGAAGGGGTGGTTGGCTTGGGTTTCTGTTTGTTTGTTTGAGTCTGCCTACTGAATAATTTTGTCATCTGTAAACTTAGCCACCTCAGTAGTGACCCCCAAGTCATTTTTTAAATATATTCAATACAACCAGACTTAACAGAGAGAGAACTCTATTCTTCCATTTTTAGGAGAAATCAAACCAGTGCTCAAAGAGGATCATGGGAAGAATCACAAACAGCATAACATTCTTTATGTGGTTTGTTTATGCCTTTCTTTATTGAGAGACTATTTCATGGTCTCGTTTGTTCTGGGTCAATAAGTAAATAAATAAATACATGAAAACAGATTTGTCTGAGCATCATCATCTTTTAAGACATTTACCTATATTAAGTAAACCATAAAAGCTGATTGTCATTCCCTGCCTCAAAGAGAGTAGAGTCCATATTTAAACAAGACAAAAAGTAAGGACGATAAACAATCAAGGACGCATTTTGACTTCTAAAAAGAAAACCCTCAATTCAATCAACTTGAATTTTTAAAGCACTAAATCACTTTAAAAAAAGATATTGGTTTCTCGAAATGAAATGTCAGGGATTTTGAAGTTAAGCTTATCCCTGATTGTCTAAAGCTCAACTGCATGTTTAACAGTGCAAATCAGACAAAATCTGCAATATGTTTGGTGTTTAACAGTTTTCACACACTTCGGGGTGTATTTCTTATTATCTGCACTAGCTTTTGAATTAACACTTTGGGATTTTCTCTAGGACACAGATTGGTAAGGATGTGCTTTAAATTGGTGAACGTGGGGGTTTGATACTTGTTGGAACACAAAATGTCTTAATTTAATGTTGTTAGAAGTAAACAGTCTCAGATACAGTTTCTACAGCTCCTAGAATATAAGCCTCCAGCTACCATCTACCTTTGGCTTCTATTTACTATAAATATTCAAAAAAAATATGTTACAAAAGTGTCACAACCCAGTGATTTTGGTGCCTCGGCACAGTGGAATTTTCCCGCCACATGAGAGCCTCTTGCAAAAGTAAAGGTTTTCTGTTGCAGCAGAAGAACCTTGGTGCAAGAGAGTTCCCGCCAATTTGCAGGATGCATTTCTTCTTTACAGCACAGAAATGCACGGTGCAAAGAGTTCCCGCTATTCGAATGCAAATTTGTGTCCCGCTAATGGCCAGTGCCAAATTATTCACACGTGGCGGCTAGTAATTGGCTTGCTAGCCGTTTAAAAATTCGCGCGACTTCCGCCCAGGTCGAAGAACTTTGAGCACGCTGCAGAGTGCCTCTAAAGAGATCTGACTTGTGGCTAGCTGATCGATAGACTGATCACCTATCGATCCTTCTTCCCGTCGCCAAGCGCAATCCCAGACGTACCCTTTTCCCGCCGGCTTGATTTGCGGACGGAGTAACTGGCTTGGGCCTCGCCATCTGGAACAACTCACATAGTTGTTCAGACGACCGGACCACCTGCATCGCAACTACAAGCGGCGTAAGTAAACGTTTTTGCAACCATTAAACCTTGTCTGCCTCTCCATTCACCAGCCCGCCCTGACGAACGAGCAATTTCTAAATCACCTCGAGTCGGCTCTGGCCGTGCGAGACAAAAAGGTGCAAGGAAAATGAGGATGTACCTCTTTTTCAGTATATGAAATGTCAAGCGCTGGTAAAATACTACATAAAATGTGGTAGAAGTGAGAGAGAACTAAAAGCAAGAGTAAATAGAAGAAGCCTTCTTGCAGTAAATAAGCAACGTGATGAGAAATGTGTTTTTGTTTTACACTGAAAATGTTGCTTTTTTATAAGTCTAAGGTTCATAGTTTTCAAATTGCTAGAATTCAGGCAGTGTTTGTGCCAACTGTCCAGAAGGCTGGAAGATGAGGGGAAAATTGAAAATTATGCAATAATTATTGCAACCTGGAATATTTTAATTTAAAAGAAATTTTGCATGTCACTGCTCTATCTGCTCTCTATATCTATTTTTCCTATGTTATCACTGAGAGACTGGGGTCTCCAATTGCTGCAATCCCTTCATATCCTGGAAACAAAAAGCAATGACAGGGAAATAGGCATGAAATTCCTTCCCCTGTGTCTCTGAAGACATTTCTCTCCCCCTTCCCATACCACCTCTCCCCTTGACCAGCATGACTTTCACAAGCACAGCTGCTACCCCATTGCCGCTCTACTCATATGCTTGAACATGAGGAACAAAACTTACAAGATAATAAGCTCTACATTAACTGTTACGACACAGAAAAAAAGACTCCGTAGTCATTGCAGATACTTCGCTAAAAACCATCAGATCAGTGTTGAATAGCAGTCAAAAAGGCAAATAAAGCATTAGGAATGATCCATTATCTATTCAGCACTGGTGCGGCCTCACCTGGAGTACTGAGTACCGTGTTGAGCCATTCTTCAAGAAGGATGTGGACAGACTGGAAAGAGTACCATACAGAGCCACAAAACAATTAGGGGCCTGCTAAGTAAGATTCATGAGGGAGGCTGAAAGTTAATATTATTAGGGTAGAGAAGAGAAAACAGAGGAGGGATTTTTTTAACAGTCTTCAAATACCTGAAAGGCAATTTACAGAGAGGGTGGAGATTGGCTTCTCTCGGTGGCCACAGGACACAGGAATAGGAGCAGTGGTCTCAAGCTGCAGCACAGGAAATTTAGGTTGGAAACTAGGAAAAATTTTCTGACTATGAAAGTGATCAAGCCCTGGAAGAGGCTGCCTAAAGAAATTGTGAAATCTTTGTCCTTGGACATTTTCAAGAGCAGACTGGAGAGACACTTGGATAGGATGGTTTAGTCAGAGACCATCCTGCCTTGAGCAAGGGGCTGGACTAAATACCTTTATGAGGTCTCTTCCAAACCCTACTTTCCCATGATGTGTTGACATATTGAATACTATGTGTAGTTTTGGTCTCTACCCCTCAAAAAGGATACAGAAAAACTAGAAAAGGTCAAATGGATGATCACGAGTATAGAGAGGTTTCCACATATGGAGAAACTAAATGGGCTAGTATTACCAG